AAAGGGTCCTAAGAAGCAAATCACCACCCATTAAAAACCCCATCAGTTACACAACCCAGGGCAACAGGGTTTAGAACAGGTCCCCTTCCTGTCTGTCTCAACGATTGGATCACTACGACAAGGTCCTAAATGCACTAGAAGATAAAAAGAATGCAGTTTGTAATATATACAGACTTTGCAAAAGCCTTCGACAAGTGTAAACCATGGCGTAATAGCGCACAAAATGCGTGCTAAAGGAATAACAGGAAAAGTCGGTCGATGGATCTATAATTTCCTCACTAACAGAACACAGAGAGTAGTCGTCAACAGAGTAAAGTCCGAGGCAGCTACGGTGAAAAGCTCTGTTCCCAAGGCACAGTACTCGCTCCCATCTTGTTCCTCATCCTCATATCCGACATAGACAAGGATGTCAGCCACAGCACCGTGTCTTCCTTTGCAGATGACACCCAATCTGCATGACAGGTTCTTCCATTGCAGACACTGCAAGGCTCCAGGGGGACATCAACCAAATCTTTCAGTGGGCTGCAGAAAACAATATGAAGTTCAACGATGAAAATTTCAATTACTCAGATATGGTAAACACGAGGAAATTAAATCTTCATCAGAGAAACAAAACAAATTCTGGCCAAAAAATAGAGCGAAACACCAACGTCAAAGACCGGGGAGTGATCATGTGGGAGGATCTCACCTTCAAGGACCATAAACATTGTATCAAATCGCATCTGCTAGAAAAATGACAGGATGATAATGAGAACCTTCAAAACTAGGGAGGCCAAGCCCATGATGACACTCTTCAGGTCACTTTTTTCTATCTAGGCTGGAATATTGCTGCACACTAACAGCACCTTTCAAGGCAGGTGAAATTGCTGACCTAAAAAATTTGTACAGAGAACCGTCACGGCGCGCATAACGGAATAAAACACCTCAATTATCGGGAGCACTTGAGGTTCCTGAACCTGTATTCCCTGGAACGCAGGCGGGAGAGATAAAATAATTATATACACCTGGAAAATCCTAGAGGGACTAGTTACCGAACTTGCACACGAAAATCACTCTTTAAACAAGCAAAAGACTTGGCAGACGATGCACCATCCCCCCAATGAAAAGCAGGGGTGTCACTAGCACGTTAAGAGACCATACAATAAGTGTCAGGGCCCGAGACTGTTCAAACTGCCTCCCCACACACATAAGGGGATTACCAAAAACCCCCTGCAGTCTTCAAGCTGGCACTGGACAAGCACCTAAAGTCAGTTCCGGATCAGCCGGGCTGTGGCTCGTATGTTGGTTTGCGTGCAGCCAGCAGCAACAGCCTGGTTGATCAGGCTCTGATCCACCAGGAGGCCTTGGTCTCAGACCGGGCCGCGGGGGCGTTGACCCCCGGGAACTCTCTCCAGGTAAACTCCAGGTCCAGGTAATAAGAAAATATTATAACCTTTATATTACAATAATAAGGTAAAAGGACCCCAATGGAAATAAGTCACTCTGTCTGACTTTTTTGGGTTATCCCAGGTTCTCTACACATATGCTGCTACGTATGATAATTCTATGTAACTGTATTTGTGTATACCTGAATAAACTTGCTTACTTACTTAGCACTTGACTGGTGTCTTCACTTCTCATCTTTGTTACGTCACTCATCATCACCAAGGAACATAAAGGACTTCTGCGCTAGCCTTCCTCGGTTGTGAACGTCTCTCTCTAGCCTGAGTATCGGCGATAAATTCCCCGCGTTCTCTCTGAGACGCTTGTCCTCATTTATTTTGCCCGCCGAGCACATTACAGGAGGATCACCTGGTCATTGGCCTAATTTTAGTCAGCTCCATTTTCCCGCTCTGCTGATAATTCTCTAACGGTTTTGTTGGGAAATCGGTTACTGAACTCGGGTGGGGATGTGGGTGTCCGGCCCTGCTGGGATTTAGCAAAGAGGTCCACCGGATCTGATTGGAAACTTCAAGTTTCTGTTTCTACATACAAAGGAACTTTTGTTCCTTTTATTTAATGGCTCAGTTTTGGGCAACAAATCTTTACATATATGCTGCTATGTATGATAATCTGTGTAACTATATTTGTGTATGCCTAAATAAACTTACTAAACTTCCCAGCGCCATCGGGAAGGTGGGCTCGATACGGCGTAAGCTGTCAGTGACCCTGATAAACCCAACAAAAAAAAAAAAGAAAAAAGAAAAAAAAGAACCAAGGAATACAGTTTGAAAACAGCAGCAGCAGTGAGATTCACCTCTCCAGTGCACCAGAGAACACAAAAGCAGCGGCAGTGAGGTTCACCTCTCCAGTGCACCAGAGAACACAACAGCAGCGGCAGTGAGGTTCACCTCTCCAGTGCACCAGAGAACACAACAGCAGCGGCAGTGAGGTTCACCTCTCCAGTGCACCAGAGAACACAACAGCAGCAGTGAGGTTCACTTACCCAGTGTACCAGAGAACACAGCAGCAGCAGTGAGGTTCACTTCCCTAGTGTACCAGAGAACACAGCAGCAGCAGCAGTGAGGTTCACTTCCCTAGTGTACCAGAGAACACAGCAGCAGCAGCAGTGAGGTTCACTTCCCTAGTGTACCAGAGAACACCCGCAGCAGCAGCAGTGAGGTTCACTTCCCCAGTGTACCAGAACAAAACACAGCAGTGAGGTTCACCCCCAAATGTACCAGAGAACACAGCAGCAGCAGTGAGGTTCACTTCCCTAGTGTACCAGAGAACACAGCAGCAGCAGCAGTGAGGTTCACTTCCCCAGTGTACCAGAACACAGCAGCAGCAGTGAGGTTCACCTCCCCAGTGTACCAGAACACAGCAGCAGCAGTGAGGTTCACCTCCCCAGTGTACAAACACAGCAGCAGCATGAGGGTTCACCTCCCCAGTGTACCAGAGAACACAGCAGCAGCAGCAGTGAGGCTCACTTCCCCAGTATACCAGAGAACACAGCAGCAGCAGTGAGGTTCACTTCCCCAGTGTACCAGAGAACACAGCAGCAGCAGCAGTGAGGTTCACTTCCCCAGTGTACCAGAACACAGCAGCAGCAGTGAGGTTCACCTCCCCAGTGTACCAGAGAACACAGCAGCAGCAGCAGTGAGGCTCACTTCCCCAGTATACCAGAGAACACAGGGAGCAGCAGTGAGGGTTTTTCTTCCCCAGTGTACCAGAGAACACAGCAGCAGCAGCAGTGAGGTTCACTTCCCCAGTGTACCAGAACACAGCAGCAGCAGTGAGGTTCACCTCTCCAGTACACCAGAGAACACAGCAGCAGCAGTGCGGTTCACCTCTCCAGTACACCAGAGAACACAGCAGCAGCAGTGAGGTTCACCTCTCCAGTGCACCAGAGAACAACAGCAGCAGTGTTGTTCACTTCCCCAGTGTACCAGAACACAGCAGCAGCAGTGAGGTTCACCTCTCCAGTACACCAGAGAACACAGCAGCAGCAGTGAGGTTCACCTCTCCAGTACACCAGAGAACACAGCAGCAGCAGTGAGGTTCACCTCTCCAGTGCACCAGAGAACAACAGCAGCAGTGAGGTTCACTTCCCCAGTGTACCAGAACACAGCAGCAGCAGTGAGGTTCACCTCTCCAGTACACCAGAGAACACAGCAGCAGCAGTGAGGTTCACCTCTCCAGTACACCAGAGAACACAGCAGCAGCAGTGAGGTTCACCTCTCCAGTACACCAGAGAACACAGCAGCAGCAGTGAGGTTCACCTCTCCAGTACACCAGAGAACACAGGAACCAACTTGTGGTGATGGCATCTACTAGCTACCTTCCTGATGAACAATATGAGACTCAGTTCTATGGCTTCTCTCCTTCCATGTTCCTTGAAGGAGGTAATGCATTTTTATTATATACAAATTAATAATGGCACCACCTATTACATCTTCAAAGAACACCCATTAGGTCTTATTCAAATGTTATGTATGGTTAATGCTTGTAAATACTCATCCGTGCTCCACATCCCCCCCACAGGCACTGCATAATCCTATGGGTTTAGTGTTCCCCTTGACTGTAATAACAGTAATGTAAGTACTCGTGCAATATTGTCACCACAGGGACCCCAGTGGAAATATCAGGGATTATTAAGTTTATTTAGGCACAGGTACACATCTGGAGTCTACCTGGAGGTTATTCCGGGGATCAACGCCCCCAAAGCCTGGTCCATGACCAGGCCTCCTGGTGGATCAGAGCCTGATCAACCAGGCTGTTACTGCTGGCCGCACGTAGTCCAATGTACGAACCACAGCCCGGCTGATCTGGCACTGACTAGGTATCTGTCCAGCTCCCTCTTGAAGGCAGCCAGGGGCCTATTGGTAATTCCCCTTATGTTTGGTGGGAAGCTGTTGAATTGTCTTGGGCCCTGGACACTTATGGTGTTTTCTCTTAGTGTACCATTGGCACCCCTACTTTTAATTGGGGGTATTTTGTATCGCCTGCCCAGTCTTTTACTTTCGTAGGGAGTGATTTCTGTGTGCAGATTCGGGACCATTCCTCCTAGTATTTTCCAAGTACAATTATCATACATAGTGTAAATAATCTAGGATAACCAAAAAAAGTCAGACTAATGTGAGGGACTCCAGTGGAAATAAGTCACTGGCTTTTTTGGGGGATATCCTGGGTAATTTACGGATAATTTACTACATGTGATAATTGTAATCACCTAAACTTGTATAACTGTACTTATGTGTACCTGTACCTAAATGAACTTGCTTATTTTACCATGCCATAACATGCATGTCATTGGTCTGACATGCATTCAGTGTAAATTGTCTAACTGCCTAAAGTTATATCCTGTGACTAGAATTAAGTAGAGTAGTATGTAAGTTCTAGGATTAATTTGCTTGAAATGCTGTATTACTAAGTGATTTTCTTTTGGAGATTCAGTTGTCATTGCCTTTTGTACTGTAATTGTATCAAAATTGTTATAAAATGTATTGTGACTTTTTATGTAATTTGTTCATAAAGAAGTAAGTTTATTTAGGCACAGTACACATAAGTACAATTACATACATAATGTCAATTACCTAGGTGTCCCATAACTGGATTGGTAGCTCACACATTGAGGTCCATGGTTCGATCCCCATTATGGGCAGAACTCGTTAGGATGTATTTCCTTAAGCTACGTGCTGTCTTTGTTCACCTAGTAGTAAAGTAAATACCTGGGTGTTAGCTGACTGACATGGGTCACATCCTGGGGACAAAATGACCTAATTTGCCCAAAATGCTCTGCATAACAAGGAGCTTTCTATATAGTAGTATGTTATTGATGTCAGCTGTACTTGTAGAAATGAAAATTGTTATTAATTAGGACAACCCAAAAAAGTCAGTGACTTGTTTCCATCGGGGTCCTTCTAATATCTTATTATTTAAACCTTAAAAGTTAAAATGGGCGAGTTAACTCAGTTATGTGAAAATCAGTTGTAGTAAAAGAGATACTGTACTATACTTGGACTAAGGCAAATTGAGTTATTTACACTAGCATTAAAGAGAGGATCAGCTTACAGTAATAAGTAGATAAATGTTAGCTATACAAGAAATTATTTTATTCTGGGTTGAATAAATACTTTGTGGAGTCTCAAAACCATTGTAAAATATGAGATTGCAAAACTTAATTTCCAATTTGGGTAGAATTCAGAACAAAAATATTACATTTACATTGTTAGCTTTAGTACATTTCATCGTTTTTAAGGCTTTCCTTAATTATAGTTTCTTTACAGTGAAGGGGCTCGTCCTTGATCGTTTGTGTGAGGCAATGGATCAGTTAGAGATGCGTTTTTCCCAGGTTAGTCGTTAGTTGCAGTCTAGCACAATAGTATGTATCCTAGGATGCTTTAAAATGCCCTGTTCTCAGCTTGAAAATGCACAGTTAGACAAATTGTTAACAGTACATATTAAAAATGTATTTTATATAGATGTGTATAACTGATATTTAAATTACATAGGCAAGGTGAATACAGTGGAACCCCAGTTTTTGTCTGATCTGAATATTGTACAATTTGGATTTCAACCACTTTTTTCGGCTTTTTTTTTTTTTTTTTACCTCGGGTTTCGTACATCCACTCGGAAAGTGTCCACATCAGATGCATCCACCCGCCCGGGATGCCACTCTCACAGTCTGCCTCTGTCGCTTGTTCAGTGAGCAATACTCCCCTTTTACCTCGGGTTTCATACATCCACTCGGAAAGTGTCCACATCAGATGCATCCACCTGCCTGGGATGCCACTCTCACAGTCTGCCTCTGTCGCTTGTTCAGTGAGCAATACTCCCCACATTCATCCGAAACATTGTCGGTAGAGGGTGGTAGTGATTGTGGTAGTAATGGTGGTAGAGGGTGGTAGTGATGGCAAACAATTGAAGATGTTTTATTTATTTATTTATTTATTTATTTAGAAATTTAGCATACAAACAGAGGTACAAAAAATACAGGTAAGAGCAGCATGCCAAAGCCACTTATATGCATAGCATTACGGGCTGGCTTAAAATTAACTTAAGATTAACTAAGCAATGATGAAATCAGTGATAAGACATTATTGTAAACAGATAACTATAAAATACAAATGAGTATTACAAAGACAGGTCCAATGGTTGCATGCATTGCTGTTCATTCAGTAGAATGGAGTATTCTGTTAGGTAGTGTATTTAAAAAAATAACAAAGTTAGGTTTAACATTTGTGTGATATAATTGTGATAACATTTAGGATATACAATTTATATGGTTCAGTTATTCAGTATTTATTTGGTTTTGAGTGAGTAAGTGAACTTTGAGAAGAGACTTGAATTTATAAACAGGTAGTGTTTCTTTTATATTTACAGGTAATGAATTCCAGATTTTAGGGCCTTTTATGTGCATTGAGTTTTTGCATAGCGTGAGATGGACACGAGGAACATCAAAGAGTGATCTGTGCCTTGTATTATGGTCATGTGTTCTGTTGAGGTTGGCAAGGAGATGTTTGAGGGGAGGGTTAATATCAGAGTTAAGTGTTCTATGTATGTAATAGGTGCAATAATAAGTATGGATGTTTTGTATGGTGGTAGGTTGAGTGTTTTGAATATTGGTGGAGTGTGCTGCCTGTAGTGAGAATTTGTTATCATTCTAACTGCAGCCTTTTGTTGGGTAATTAGTGGTCTGAGATGGTTAGTTGTTGTTGAGCCCCATGCACAAATTCCATAGGTGAGATAGGGGTAAATAAGAGAGTGATAAAGGGCCAGGAGGGCTGACTGTGGAACATAGTACCGTATCTTCGATAGTATGCCTACAGTCTTGGAAATTTTCTAAGAAATTTGTTGTATATGTGTATGAAATTTGAGTCTATTATCGAGGTGGATTCCTAAGAATTTTCCCTCTGTTAGCTTTGTGATAGGTGATCCGTTTATCGTTATGTTAAGAGGTACATCTGTAGCTCTGCTACCAAACTGAATGAAGTAGGTTTTGTCAATGTTTAGTGTAAGTTTGTTAGTCCTCATCCAGGTAGATATTTTCTGTAATTCGGCGTTTACAGTATTTGCTAGCGTGACTGGGCTCGGGTGAGAGAAGACGTATGTGGTGTCATCTGCAAAAAGTGTGGGTTTGAGTAATTGCGAAGCATTTGGTAGGTCATTTATGTATAGGAGAAAGAGAAGAGGGCCAAGGACACTTCCCTGTGGGACACCAACTGTAATTGGTTGTGCGGAAGAGCTTGCCCATTTGCGTATACATATTGGCTTCTGTTGCTGAGGTAAGACTTGAGGTAGTTGAGGGAGTGCCCTCTAATACCATAGTGTGACAATTTTTACGTGGAGCAAGTCATGGTCAACTGTATCAAAAGCTTTACGTAAGTCAATGAAGATCCCCAGTGGGACTTCTTTTTTCTCTATTGCAGTGTATATATGTTCTAGCATGTGTATAATAGCATCATTAGTAATTTTTATTAGGCCTGAATCCAAATTGGCAGGGGTTGAGAATGTTATGGGAGATGAGGTAGGAGTGGATTCGTTTATGAATTAATTTTTCGAAGATTTTTGAGAGAGGGTGTAAATTGGATATTGGCCTATAGTTATTCAACTCTGTTTGGTCTCCTCCTTTATGGATCGGGGTGACCCTTGCTATTTTGAGAACTGTAGGGAAGGTGGAGGATTCAATGGATTTGTTAAAGAGTGTTGCAATGATTGGTGATAGTACTTGTGACGCTTTTTTGTATATAAAGGGTGGTAAGGTATTTAAATCTCCTGCCTTGTTTTTCAGTGCGTTGATAATAAGGGATACAGTGGACCCCCGCATAGCGAACTTAATCCGTGCAAGAGGGCTGTTCGTTATGCGAAATGTTCGCTATGCGAATTAATTTTCCCCATAAGAAATAATGGAATAAAATTAATCCGTGCAAGACACCCAAAAGTATGAAAAAAAAATTTTTTTACCACAAAAAAATGTTAATTTTAGTACACACAAACTGAAAAAGGCATGCACAATTACATGACACTTACTTTTATTGAAGATCTGGTGATGATTGATGGGATGGGAGGAGGGGAGAGAGAGTGTTAGTGTTTAGAAGGGGAATCCCCTTCCATTAGGACTTGAGGTAGCAAGTCCTTTTCTGGGGTTACTTCCCTTCTTTTAATGCCACTAGGACCAGCTTGAGAGTCACTGGACTTCTGTCGCACAAGATATCTGTCCATAGTGGCCTGTACCTCTCGTTCCTTTATGACTTTCCTAAAGTGTTTCACAACAGTGTCATTGTAATAGTCACCAGCACGGCTTGCAATAGCTGTGTGAGGGTGATTTTCATCAAAAAAGGTTTGCACTTCAAGCCATTTTGCACACATTTCCTTAATCTTTGAAGTAGGCAATTCCTTCAATTTCTCTCTCCCCTCCTCTGAACCAGTTTCCCCAGGTCTGGCCTCTTGCTCTTGAAGTTGATCTATCAGCTCATCAGTGGTTAGTTCTTCATTGTCCTCCTCCACCAACTCTTCCACATCCTCCCCACTAACCTCCAACCCCAAGGACTTTCCCAATGCCACAATGGATTCCTCAACTGGCATAATCATCTCAGGGTTAGCCTCAAACCCTTCAAAATCCCTTTTGTCTACACATTCTGGCCACAGTTTCTTCCAAGCAGAGTTCAAGGTTCTCTTAGTCACTCCCTCCCAAGCCTTACCTATAAGGTTTACACAACTGAGGATATTAAAGTGATCCTTCCAAAACTCTTTTAGAGTCAATCCAGTGTCTGTGGTCACTTCAAAGCACTTTTGAAACAGAGCTTTTGTGTACAGTTTCTTGAAGTTGGAAATGACCTGCTGGTCCATGGGCTGCAGGAGAGGAGTGGTATTAGGAGGCAAAAACTTCACCGTAATGAAGCTCATGTCCCCATAAAGTCGCTCTGCCACGTCTGTAGGATGACCAGGGGCATTGTCTAACACCAGGAGGCACTTAAGGTCTAATTTCTTTTGAGTTAGGTAATCTTTCACATTGGGGGCAAATGCATGGTGTAACCAGTTATAGAAAAATTCCCTAGTGACCCATGCCTTACTGTTTGCCCTCCACAGCACACACAAATTATCCTTGAGGATATTCTTTTGCCTGAACGCTCTGGGAGTTTCTGAGTGATACACTAATAAAGGCTTAACTTTGCAATCACCAGTAGCATTGGCACACATCAACAAAGTAAGCCTTTTCTTTCATAGGCTTATGTCCTGGGAGTGCCTTTTCCTCCTGAGTAATGTAGGTCCTGCTTGGCATTTTCTTCCAGAACAGGCCTGTTTCATCACAATTAAACACTTGTTCAGGTTCCAGTCCTTCAGTTTCTATGTACTCCTTGAATTCATGCACATATTTTTCAGCCGCTTTGTGGTCCGAACTGGCAGCCTCACCATGCCGTATCACACTATAGATGCCACTACGCTTCTTAAATCTCTCAAACCAACCTTTGCTGGCCTTAAATTCACTCACATCATCACTAGTTGCAGGCATTTTTTTAATTAAATCGTCATGCAACTTCCTAGCCTTTTCACATATGATCGCTTGAGAGACGCTATCTCCTGCTAGCTGTTTTTCATTTATCCACACCAATAAGAGTCTCTCAACATCTTCCATCACTTGCGATCTTTGTTTCGAAAACACAGTTAAACCTTTGGCAACAACAGCTTCCTTGATTGCCGTTTTCTTGCCCACAATAGAACCGATGGTTGATTTTGGTTTCTTGTACAACCTGACCAGGTCGGTGATACGTACTCCACTTTCATACTTATCAATGATTTCTTTCTTAAGTTCAATGGGTATTCTTACCCTTTGAGGTGTAGGGTTGGCACTAGAAGCTTTCTTGGGGCCCATGGTCACTTATTTTCCACAAACAGCACCGAAAACACTGTAATAATACGAAATATTCCGAGTGTATGCTTGGATGTTACCGCGGAGGCTGGCTGGTAAACAATGGGACGGGCGGCACATGTGAGGCTGGGTGAGGGCCCACATTGGACGCGTCTCGGACGAAGTTCGCTGAGCGGGTTTTTGTCTACTATGCGGGGCAAAATTTCAGCGAACAAAGCGTTCGCTATGCGGATTGTTCGCTATGCGATGCGTTCGCTATGCGGGGGTCCACTGTACTTCGTATGGGTTAGTCGGAGCTAGGAACAGTGTGTTCGGGTAGTTGCCAGTGAGGTAGTCATTTGGTGGGGTATCTGAGCTTGGGATTTTATTGGCAAGGTTTTGACCTATAGTGGAGAAGAAATCATTGAGTCTGTTTGTTGTTTCTGTTGGTGGGAGTTGGGGTTCATCTGATTTTGCTAATTTTATTTCGCTATGTCGTGATATCTTTTTTGTTCCCTGAATTTCTGATAGGGTCTTCCAGGTCTTTTTTATATCACCTCGTAAGTTGGATAATCTGTTCTCATAATACAATTTTTTTTGCCCTTCTTATCAGGCTGGTTAGGATTGACGAATAACGTTTTGTTTGGTCTCTGGTTATGTGACCCATTCTGTACTGTTTTTCATATCGGTGTTTTGTATTTATGGATTTGAGAATGCTGGGTGTTAGCCAGGGACTGTTCAGTCTCTTAGCTGTCATCTGCTTAGTTTTTTTAGGGCAGTGCTTGTTATAAAGGTATTGGGTCTTTTTTTAGAAAATTATTAAAACATTCGTCAATATCTGTATAGATTTCTAGCTCAGTGTGCCAGTCAGTGTTTGTTACTGCTGTTGTGAAGTTATTAATGGCTGCCTCATTGTGAAGTCTGAAGGTGACTTTAGTAGTGTCTTGGGGTATTTTACCAAGAGTTGTTATGAGGAAAGTAGGGTAGTGGTCTGTGGTATTATCTGTAATTATGCCTGATTTTAAAGGGGATATGGTGTTTGGTCCAGATGTGGTCAAGTAGGGAAACACTAGTCTCTGTAACTCTTGTAGGTTTTGTTACTGTTGGTAGCAACATGCAGTTACACATTGTGTTTGTGAATTCAGTAACGTGTGGGTCCTGGTCTTGCAGGAGATTTATATTGAAGTCACCTGAGAGTAGTAAGTGATCTTTGTTCATGCATGCATCAGTTATCATACTTCCTAGGTTTTGACTAAATTGGCTAATGTTTGATTGTGGAATTCTGTAGATGTTTATCACTGTGAGAGGTTTTTGTAGGTATTTGGATTTGAATTTAGCTATTATATATTCCCCATGTTCATCCCTTGTGCAAGTATTAGTGATACATTCTAGTTGGTCTGAGTAGTATATAGCTGTGCCACCCCCTTGTTGGTCTGGCCTACAGTTGTGTATGGCTGTGTAACCAGGAATGGCATAGACATCTGTAGTATCAGGCTTTAGCCAGGTTTCAGTTAGTGTAATAATGGACATATTGGCATGCAAGGAATTTAGTAATGCTAGGAGGTCATCGTAATGCTTGCTTAAAGATCTGATATTGTAGTTAAAGATAGTTATGTTGTTGTTGGCTCTGAGAAGTGCCTTTGATTGTTCTGCTGTGTAGTAATTACAGTAACTGTTTGAATCATTTAAGTCATTAAATAAGAGGTTGGTATCAGGATCAATGCTTGTAATCATAAGATTTGTAGTGAATCTATAGTTAGAATTAAGTAAAAAATAAAGTAAATATTCTAAAGCTAAAAAAAATAGCACCTGAATTATTTAACAAATGTAAAAAATAATGAGCTAAGGTAGTTTTTTAAAGCTAAAATAAAGGAGACAATATAAAAGGGACTAAAATAATTTGTGGTGAACAAATAAAGTGATGATCAAATAATGGAGCTTGGGAATATGATAGTAGGTAGTACTTTAAAGGTAATTCTTTAAAGTTAGAATTATAATATAAAATTATAATATAAAAGGGACTAATATAAGTTGTGGTGAACAATAAAGTGGTAATCAAATAAATGAGCTTTGGAGTATAATGGCAAAATAGTGAACTTATTAACATTAGCACCTGAGAATAGCACCTTGATTAGTTTAACAATTGCGAATATATGATCTAAGGTAGTTATATAGAGCTAAAATAAAGGACAAAAAATATATAAGGGACTACAATTGAGTAATGGTAAACAAGTTAAATGGACAGATAGTCACTATGAAATAATATTGGTTTAGGAGTAAGATCTGATTTGTAATATTAAATAAGTTGAGCAGTTTATTGCACAATAAAAAGTAAAAAAAAAAAAAAAAAAAAAAAATGAGGTAGTTGGTACTAGCTAGCAAAAGATAGTATTGGTACTTGCAAAAAAGTAATTGGAATATACACTAATTGCACACACAATAAAAAGTGACTAAAAAAACAAGTACGTAGTGGTAAACAAAATTAAATGGACAGGTAAGAACAATGAATAATGGTAATGTCTTGGTTATAATATGATAGTAAGATGGTAGACAGGTACAAAGGATAATATAAAGGTTGGAGTTGAATATGCAAACTTGAAAATTTGGCAACAAAATGTTATGGGAAGTATAAAATAATGTTTAATGTACAAAAGTAAAATTGACTGGTAGTAAAAATGGTGTTTAATAAAATTTTAGTAAGTAATAATGATTACAAAAAAGTGAAAAAGTAATGTTTATTTCATTCAATATTGCACTGGTAGTTATACTAGAGGTTATATGGCAGTACAAGGTAATTAAGAGTACTCTAAGATAGTAAATGTGGTATAAAACAGGTAAAGGTAATTAGACAAGTAATGGTTATTAAATGTCAAAAATGTTAAGAGTAAATTGAAATTATAGTAAAAATGATAATTATTAATTTTAGTAGGTAATATCAATTGATAGTATTTAAAAAAATATGAGGTAATAATATGGACAGAGAAAGTATCAATTCAGCTCATGTTTAAGCAAACAATAGTAAATAAGAAAATTACATAAGGTGACTTATGCTTACTAGTAAAATCACAAAAAGAGGTAGTTGATTATTTAAATACTAAGAGATTGTACAATGAAGTTTGAACAATAATGGAGCAAAACATACACTACACTACATAGGCTTTTAAGTTGGACATTGTTTAGTTATTCTCTGTAAGATTAGTATCCCTGAGAAATCGTGATAGATCATTCTCGTTTGTGATTGTGTACAGTTGACCTACATTTGTTTTCCTAACAAGAATTTTCCCATCCCGTGTGAAGCATTGGTGTATTGTGTCGTTATTCTCCCGCTTAAGTTTTCTTACTCTATACAGGAGGTTCTGACGTTTTTTGGTAAGACACTCGTTTATGTATACCTCTTTCTTTACTTTAATAGATGCAATAATTAAGTCTTTTTTCCTGTCATGTGAGTGGAATCTAAGCATAACACTTTTTCTACCATGGGATCCTAGTAACCTGGCTTCTTTTATTTCAGACTCAGGTACAATAACACTTGTTTGGTCCTTTATGATCTGCAGAGTAATTTCTTTACTGTTTGTTTGGTTCATATCACTGGGAAAAAGTGGACTGTTAACTATTACTGCGTCCGATAGTTTATCTTGTTCAGTTTTATCTTCTTGGAGAGCAAAGTAGTCGCTGAACTGGTTATCTAAGTTGTTCTTCCATTCTTTTACTGCTTCTTCAACCTTTGTATTAAGAGATATTATTTGTTGGGTATGGCTATCTATGACTGTTTGGATGGTCTTGTCACAGTTAGTCATTCCTGGTGTTGATAACTTTTGTTCAAGACTGAGGATTTTGTTCTCGAGTTGTTGAGTTGTTGTTGTTGGTGTGGATCAAAGAAAAACAGTTAACTGGAGATAGTGTTGTGGAGGCAATAATTTGTGAAAAGGCAAGGCAGTTGCATGCAGATCTCGTAAAGAATATGCCAACAGGAGTCTTCAATAAAGGTAAAAATGATTTAAATGTTCATTTATCCATTAAAATTAGTGCTTTATATTTATTTCTCATTGTTTTCTGTGTGTAAAACTATAGTTATTCTCTATAAAATGTATATTTTGTTAATAATTTTGGGTGCCTGGACCGGATTAATTAGATTTACAATATTTCTTATGGGAAATATTACTTCGGTTTTTGTCCATTTCGGTTTTCGACTGACCTTCTGGACTGGATTAAGGACGAAAACCAGGGTTCCGCTGTATTAGTTTATGAAACATCCAGGCAGTGTGGGAGTTCTCACTTCATTTTATATTGCTTATGAGGGTTGTTCACCACTAATTTCTTGCAAATACGATTAACATGACATTTTATTCGTTAAACATTGCTGCACACTTGAATTTTTTTGTTATTGTTAATACAGTTTATTCATTATTTATCAAAGGTGTGAATGGGTGGATGCATGCATTTATATTCCTCATTACTACTGTACCCTAGATCTAAACTTAATTTCCCATATATCATTCAAATAATGGGGTTTAAAACATTTATATACTAAGTGGTAGGGAAAGTAACGCTTTTTTTTTTATTTAGTCTGTGTGTGTGTGGGGGGGGGGCAAAAATAGAAAATCACCATTGTTCAGTCGGTAAAGTCATTTGAGAATGAATTTTTTTAATTTAAACCCATAATCATAGTACAGTGGAACCTCGGTATTCCAACAGCCCCCTACCCGAACAATTCGGTATTTGAATGCTTTGTTCAATAAAAAAAATCACTTGGTAGTTGACTGTTTGCTTGGCACTCAACCAAACAAACACGATCTGCCAGAACTTCGCTGTAAACCATTTTGTGTTTCTTTGCATTTTTTTTTATATTTATATAAATAAGTCACCAAGGGGCCTATGAAGATCAGTGATAACAGCCAACCAAAAAGAATATTGGTTGGGAAAAATTCGTTCAGCACTTGAACAGATTGACACTTGAACAGCCTTCTGGAATGAATTAAGTTCGAGTACCAAGGTTCCACTGTATGTGGTGGAAAAATTGAGTATCCCTTGCATGTTTAGGACTCTGTAGTGTAATAGTATAAATAGCAATAATAAATATCAATAGTGTAATAGTGCAACAGCATTTTACAAAAAAATGCAGTGATAAAATGTGAATAAATGTTTACAAAACAGACAAATTGATTAATGTGATAAAATGTTTGTTACTCAGTTTCCTGAAGAGATCCTGCCATCAGAAGGTGTTAACATCCTGCGCCAGCACACGGATAACACTTTTACCAAGACATTTCAGAAGTTTGAGGTAATTTTTTATTTGATATTTTGGACTTGAGCATGCATGAATTTAGAAGTACAGCCTCTCCTCACTTAGTGACGTACTCGTTTAGTGATGACTCAGACTTATGACGGGCTCTCTGACCAGTATGCATACCTAAATGTATATTAGTTGGTTTCCTCAATTCTATTTATTACAATACATGTACAGTACACTACTGTATAAACATTTAAAAATACACCAGAAATATTATAAATGGTGGAGAGGTGACATTAAAACAATATCAAAGATGGTTGACACTAATCCACTACCATTATAGTATACTCCTCAGCGACGCATTCATTTACTGACGTGGTCTTAGGAATGGAACTCCGTCGTTAAGTGAGGAGAGGCTGTAATGACAGAGATTTAGAGAGTTTAGGAATTGTGGAAAATTGCATTTATCTGTATGTATCATTATATACATAACAGTAAATAACAATGATAATTATTATTTATCAGTTAGACAAGTAGGAATTTGGGACACCTAGGTCACAAAAATGTCCCCCTTCAATACCTACCACTGTCATATCCAAAAGTTGCTCTGGACCTATTAATTAAATGAAATATACATACACCAGGAATACTGGTAAATATATAAATTTGTGGGCTCTATATTAAAAATAATAAATGGTTATATATATACACAATTACATAACAGAAGGAAAATATATCTTAATATCACTCACCAATTTGACTGGAGATTAATGTGTATCATACTCAGAAAACCTCACTCTAACTAAATCTATGAAAATAATGCTGGCCAGAATTACACACAAATCTAGAGAGCTTATCTGAGGTTCCTGGAGAGGTCTTGTCCAGTCGCCTGATATCTCAAGTTATGCAGGAATGCATATCCACCAATTTCGCCTCCTATTTGAGAGGTGTCAGCACAATTTTAACCTCTAGAGCACGAAAAATTCTTCCCCATTCACCAATGTTTCTAATACAAATTCAAAAACCAAGATTCAAAGGTTCAAAGTTTATTCTCTATAAGGATTACAATGCTGAGTTTACAGAAATTTGGTTATTGTTTGGTTTACATGTAGTAAAATTGAGATTACAGAGTGTACCACTAGAACGCTTAGCATGGCTAGGCATTTCGGGCATACTTAGTTTTATTCTTAAATGTAAAATATTACAAATTATGAGGTAAGTTGGTATTATGGCTAAGTGACTAAATACTATTTTGTGAGTTTAGCAATGTGAATGCTTTTGTTTTGGCACAGTATACAGTTTCAGTATTGGAGTATCACAGGATTCATATATTTTAAGACTGAGAATTAATATTTCTGTTTATGGTCAAATGAGTGAGCGAGTGTAAGTGTGAACCACCAGGTGGTATTCGTGAAGTTAGTTGACGGGGTGTATCAGGGAGATAAGATGTTTTCTAATGGTAGTTTTGAAGGTGATGAATGTGTCTGCAGTTCTAGAGTTCTCAGGTAGGGTATTCCAGATTTTAGGGCCTTTGACATACATTGAATTTTTGTAAAGGTTTAGTCGGACACGGGGAATGTCGTAGAGATGTTTGTTTCTGGTGTTATGCCTGTGGGTTCTGTCACAATTATCAAGAAAGCGTTTAAGGTCAAGGTTGATATTAGAGTTTAAGGCCCTGTAAATATAGATTGCACAGTAGTAAGTGTGGATGTACTGAACTGGGAGTAAGTTTAGATCTTTGAAGAGTGGGGGGTGTGCTGCCAGGGATGGGATTTAGTGATTATTCTTACTGCAGCTTTTTGTTGGGTTATTATTGGCTTTAGGTGTGTTGCTGCAGTTGATTCCCAAGCACAAATAGCATAGGTAAGGTATGGATAAATAAGTGAGTGGTATAGTGTGAGAAGGGCATTTTGCGGCACGTAGTATCGTATCTTGGAGAGGATCCCAACCGTTTTGGCCAGTCTCGTCTGCCCAGACGCAGGCTTTCCATTTTCTATGACATAAATATTATTAAATACAGTATGGCCATCTATTTACATATAAATACTGAATTTCTGGAAAATATATACAGTATTTTCCACAGGAATTTTGTGATAACTTTCAACAAAGTCTTAATCAAAACTTTTAATAAATTAATTATAATTTAATATCCAATGCTGATGTTTCAGTTAATTGATATGCCATATACAGTATTAGTCAAGCAATAAAATCACAGTAAACAGGTGATATCACAATATGCAAAATAAACACTGAAAAAAATAGTGAATTTCTGAGTGCCTTCATGATTTCTCACAGTTCCTTTATAATGTGAGAAATCATGAAAGCACCACTTGAAAATTCACTGTTTTTCTCATATTGGTTATTGTCATATACATGTACATATTTTAATTTGCTTGACATGGGGATGCTTCCCGAGACAAGGTTGTGTACTGAATAAATTCAGTATTGTGGTACATATTATAAGTGGGCTAATCATAGACCTTTTCAATCCCTTTACTAATATTATAAAACTGGTTGCCATTTGTGTTGATAAGGTAAGTAAGCAAGTGTTACACCAAAGTATATCTGGGAAACTTCCAATTTCTGTAGATTTGGCGAACAATGTTGCAATGGTAGGTGATAGCACATGAGCAGATTTCTTATACATGAAAGGTGGTATATTGGTTTAGTTTTTTGTGCATTTATTATTGAAGACCCCTGTAGAATTGTTTTGAAATAGGTACGTATAGTGCTTGGGTGATTATTCCCAATTTAAGAGATTATTGGTGACATAATCTTAAATTGGGATTGGGATTTAAGGATTTTGCTGTCCAAGTTTTATCCTATAATCAAGAAGAAATTTCAATAAACCTTCTCAAAACACTACACTACATATCATGATTTCATCTAAATTCACTTAAAAAAAAAAATTAATTTTCTTTGTATAGCTTGAAAGCCCTTGATATTATTTTATATAAATCTAAAGAAAAGTCCTTAATGAGCAAAATTTGGGTAGTAACTTCAGCAGGTTTCCACAATCTGCTTGCTAGGCTCAGAGCAGTGCTCCTACCAGCCCTCAACCTCCTTGCTAATTGTCAGGAAATCATGTCTACTAGATAGCAGTTTTTTAATATTTTTAAAAGTTTTTATAACTTAAGAATGCTGTACATAAAGCACATGTATGTGCAAAAAGTTCTACATTATGTAATTTTGCTTCTGTTTCAGTCTCATGTTTTAGAGAGTGTGATGAAAGTCCCCCCACACATTATTCTGCCAACTGATATTGAACAAGCAACACCATCTTCAGTTTCAAATATTAATAATATAAAAGCAGACATTGAAAAATTGAAGGTGCAGTTGAAAAATGTAAGTATCTATCTTATTTTCATCCACTGCTTTATGCTAAGAATTGACCCATTGTCATTTTGTGCAGTAACCTGAGAAGGATGGACAATGAAAACTTTATTCAGTATACATATTGTATATTTTGCTGTGGGAATGTTGTGTGGATGGTTTATAAAACTTTTTTTTTTTTTCCAAATACGATTTGGAAATGGATAGCAAGAGTAACATAAGAGGGGCCTGGAGACGTGATTAATGAACAGAGAAAATGTCATTTTAGTGCCAGGAATGTCTGTCTTGTTTATTCTGGACCCAAATATGATTTTTCCAAATATGATTTGATCATTTAACCCTTTGAGGTTCGAAAAATTTTCAAAAAAAAAAAAATTATGAAATGGTAGAGAATCTTTTCCCGATGGTAATGACGCCAAAAGTATGAAATTTAATGGAAAACTTATGAAATTACGCTCTTATCAAGTTAGCAATATCGGCTATACAGTGGTCCCTCGTTTATCATAGTTAATCCATTCCTAGAAGTGCGATGATTATCGAAATAGACGATTTTCGAATCGATTTTCCCCATAAGAAATAATGTAAATACAATTAATCCTTTCCTGACACCCAGAAGTATTAAAACAAAAATTTTTTTTACATGAAATATAGATGTAGTACATAAACAGTACAATGGGACATGATGAATGAAACATTAACAGATAACCTTCCTTATTGGCTTTTTCTTGTGAGGGAAAGACGGGAGGGGATAAGAAAAGATAAGAAAAGATTTTTCGGTTTTTTTAACCCCGGGGTTTTTGCCACCCCGGGTAACCAAGAAAGTCAGTTGTCATCGAGGACTGTCTAATTATTTCCTTGGGGTCCTTAAATTTTTCCCCCGGGGTGGCCACACCCGTCGATAACCCCAGGTCCTTTTGGCTAGGTGAACAGGGCAAAAGGTGTAAGGAAAGGTGGAATTTCCCCCGCCGGGAAACGAACCCCGGGCCCCCCCCTGGGAAACGGGGGGTTTAGCCCCCAACACCGGGCCCCTGCCACCCGATTAATTTTACTGTTTGGAATGGGAATCCCCTTCCCTCAAACCTTACGCCAAGTCCTTTTCTGGGGTTACTTTTTTTCTTGTTTTTTTAAACCCTAGGACCGTGTGAGTCTGGAGTCCCGTCTCGCAAAAAAAGTGTCCAGAGAGCTCTGTTTTTGGGGTTCTTTAAAACTTCCCCAAAATAGGCCAAGACTCTGTCACTTTTCATTTTCCAAAATGGCTTTTAAATCCCTTTCAGGGTGATGTTTTTCCATAAATCTTTCCTCCTATCCCATTTAAAAAAACCCTTAATTTTGAAAAAAAAAGGCACTTCTTCCATCTCTCTTTCCCCCTCCTCTGCAGCAGTTTGACGCGTCTGTTGCTGTTCCCGCTGAAGCCTTGAGCCTCGTGTTACTCTTCAATTGGTCCTCCCCCCAAACTTTCCACATCCCCAAAAACGCATCCAACCCCCCGGAACTCCCAAAGCCAAGAGTTACAACTGCTAGGGTCATCAGGGTCACC